CATTTCTTTACTTTCTATTAAGATTGAATATTTATCGAGAATACGTATAGATGCTTTTCTCAATTCTCTATGAATGTGCTTTCTCTATTTTTCCTTTGGGCTGTTAAACATTTTATTGATTAGTGGAAAATTCTTTATATATTAAAAATTATTAGCCACTTTATCCTATATAATATAAACTTTTGTTCTAGATTGTTGTGTACACTAGAATTTCTTTTGTCCTTTTCTGTGCTGATGAGTATACTGTTTTTTAGTTATAATATTTAAATATGCAACCTAGATAAAGGAGTTTTTTTTTTCTGGGACTCAGTTGCTTTGTCTGTAAAATGTGTTTGTAGGGAGGGAGGGATGGGGATGGTGTTGGGAGGAACAAACTAAAGAGATTGGATGAAATGATCTGTTACAACTCTTTTGGGCCTAAAATTCTATGATTCTATTACTTCCCAATTCCATCCTAATTACTGCATAGAATCAAGCCATATGGTACTTTTTTGATCTTGTAAATTTGGGGCAAGCATTACCATTGCTTATTAAATCACGGTGCTACAAATTCAGGGTTAATTTTCTTTTAATGAAGAAACTTCTGCATGACCCCAGGGCTTTTTTCTTCTGTTAAACTGTTATGAACCATTTCCATTTAAAAAACACCAATAGCTTTAATGAGTAAGGCCTGCCACTTTCATAAAATTGCAGCTAATGAATGACCTTGCAGACAGAAATAGGCAACACAATTAGAGCTACCAAAGTTTTCTTTCTGACTTTGAGCCTGTTTAACTTTTTCATCATGTGCATGGACACACACATAGAGCCTCAGGAAATTAAATATACAGCATACTTGTGGCTGCAGTGTTACTAGAAGAGACTGTGTAGTTTGCATCTGGAACCATCAGCAGTGACGTCTGCTTATAAGGAGACACTGCAGTTTGTTGACTGGTGGTCCTCGTGGTGATTTACAGCTCTGAAGCTTGGAGATGTCTGTATTTCTAGATTTATATATTCTGTGGAATCTTCTCTGTTTTTATATTTTAGTTAGAGTAGCTTGGAGAGGTCCCAAAGCACTTTGTATCAGAACAGTGTGGTTCTTCATGCTATTGCAGAATGGTGAGCAGGAAGGTCTTGAACCTGTCATGTGGTCTACCTTATTTGATCACAGGAGGAGGTTACCAGGAGCTGAGTGATTCTCCTTTTTTTTTTAGCTATTTTTTTTTTTTGGTATCATTAAAAAAATAAGTATTGATTGTGAACTCTAGAAATTGGCATTTCTTGCAGAAAATGTCCTTCCTTCTCCACAAAAGTCACTGGAAGAAGGCCTGGAGAGGTCTCTTCAGAAGATTGCTCCCATGGGCTGAAAATCCTGGATTCCTGCAACTTCTCTGAATTCCAGGCTTCAGTCTCAAAGAGTGTTGTTGCCTTTTTCCCCTTTTATTGCTGAGTGTTTGAAGATGGTTCTGGCTATATTTTAGTTTATAAACTAGTGCAGTATGCATGATATTTTAGAAAGCTTCTTAGTTTAGGTCTCATTGTTAATAAGTTCTCCTTCATCTTTTCACCTGGTGCCATAGCCGACAAACCTGGAGTCTAGAAGAGGAAAATAGGATACAAGGGAAGGAAGACAGGAGGGAAAAGTGAGGGACAAGTTCCTGATAGCATTTTGAGGCTTGTTGGGAGAGGAAGAGGGGGAGTGACCAGAGAGCTAAAGTGAGCCTGAGCCCCCGCTCCTTTCTCTGGCTTTGGCCTGGGCATGGTGATCAGACAAGCCATGGGGAATGATGGGGCAAAGTTTTCCCTGATTCATTTTGGGATCCTAGGAGAAGACTGCCTCATAGCTTGCTCTCCTACTATCCTGGAGCTGGTTACAACTGAGAATGCACCATGGCCTACCATAGCAACGATCTGGGTTTTCCTTTGGCTCGTATGTGATCAAAATAGAATCTAGAGGTTCTCACATGCTCCCATGGCAGATGTAGAAGTAAGCTGACTCTCTGGCTAGATACCTTCCTAGCTCAACAATGACAGCACTTGTCATAGTTATATAACACTTAAATGTGCCAGATACTGGTCAAAAATTTTATCTTTATTAATCCATCCTCATAGCAACTCTGATGGGTAGATGCCATTATCATTAGTCCCTCCCCATTTTATACATTTGGACACCCATATACTAGCATGTTCAATAGCTTTACCCTAGGTCTCAGACAAGAAGCAGTGATCTGGAAACACAATCTGGGACTAGAATCTGAAGGATGATCATTGCTAAGAATGAAGTGATCTTCTAACCAAAGCCTACACTGCAAACTGCCTGGGCTAGACCTCAGGTTGCCCAGACCATCATCAAGAGTCAACTTAAGAAGCCTGTGGAACCCTAGTTAGATGAAGAGGTAGATAAGTGATGGGCTAATCTTTACTAATTAATAAGAGTTGTTAGGAGGCTCAGCATAAGGAGACACAAATACAAGTATGCCACCCTCTTCACCTGCTGCTCTAATAGCATGTCAGTCTCTGTCACATACCTACTGCCAACTCGAGGAAGGAAGGAGTAAAGATAAAGAATAGCCTTTATCGGAGCAAGACTATGTGGCCTAAATTGATGTTTCAATGATGGGTTTGGCCTGGGATGACTCTATTGGACTAATTATTGGACTGGTTATTTTCTCTGCCACTTTGTGGGTAGGACTCAGGAGGGAAGCTAACTCTTAATAGATAAGTTAAGGGAGCAGCATTTTCCCTGCACATGTGGTTAATGTAAGTACCCAAAAGACTGGAAGTAATTTTCTTTTTCTGTGCATTGAAGGTTCTGGAGTATAGTTTTGTTACCATCCGTAGGGGGAAAAAATAAATTCTAGGTATGTTGTTATCGTTTTTCCACTAATCAGAGTAAAAAGTGGAAGTGTAACTCAACCAAAGATTATCTAAGTGGTTTCTGTTTTGTTTTCTACGTAAAAATTACTATAATTACATGACTCCTGAATTATTTAAGATTGCTGTACTGTATTTTTTAAAATGACTATTTGAACACAAGTCTCTTCAGCCACATAATTTATTCTGATGATAAATGTAGAAGCCAATTACTTTTCTATTTCTGGAAAGATAGGGGATAGTAAGATCATATAGGACAAATGCTTAATTTAAGAAATATATATATTGGTATATTATTCTATATTATATTATAATTATTCTATATTAAGAAATGTATATATATATGTCATATATATGACTCTCCTGACAATCATAGAGACAGTCGAGGGAGTGGGTGGACAATGCAGTTCAGATGTGCCAGAGCCTGACTCAGCAGGATCAAATGAATGCCCAGGGTGCTTTCCAGGTAAACAGGGCCCTTCAAGTATACTTTGGGATTCTTAGGCAAAATCTACTGAAACTGTCTGAGAGCAGTTTGGGGCTTAAGGCGGGGGTAAGGTTTTGTTGTGAGTTGGTATATGGTCTGGGAAAGTTTGGAGTTGGATGTAGTCGTTCATGGACTTCACACAGAAGTCCCTATCTTTTTAGGGTAGTGTGCCCCAAATGTCAAGCATTGGAGGACTAGCTTTACTCTGATACCTGTAGTGTCATTTCTTTAATACTTTTGTTTAAACTGATTCACCATGTTTTACCTAAATACATTTGTTTAAAAACAGATATTTGTATGATTATCAAAAATGGTTAAAAAAGAAACCTTTGCCATAATTAGGAGGTCATAATCAACATACATGCTATTAGATTTTTCTCCTTATGTAAATAGGATTGAAAGAGAATTGAAATGATGCTGTTTAATTCTGTGTCCATGTACCACTAACAACCATCTGCTATATTTCTTACAATCATTTCGATGAACTTTGTTGACGACCATGGAAATATGGAATTTAAGAGAAAAATAGACGTTCTTCTGTGCAGGACAAGCTGGTCCTGCCACAGCCAGCCAGATGCTCTGGAGTACCTGCTGGAACTGCCCTCACAATGGAGGGTTTGGGAGCAAACAAATGGTGGGCTTTCAGCTGGAATTAGATTGTGTAGGCTGCAAAAATGCCTTCTAACCAACACAATTGATGGTATAGTGTATCCTAAACCTCCTAGGATTTCCTCTTTATTTTGAGGTGAAAAGTATGCAACTAAAGGGAAAATGAAGACTTTTTATTTGGATGTTCCAACCAAAGTGCACAACATTTCATATAATAGACAAGATGGCTTTATCTGTGGATTGCAAAAGGCCTTAAAAAGAGGCTGGCCAGTGTCTGGTAGCACAGTGTGTGACACTGATGAGGCTAGGGAAGTATCAGTCTCCTGTAGCTTCTATAACAAATCACAAATGTCATGATTTAAGACAAAAGAAATTGATTCTCTCACAGTTCTGGAGGCCAAAATCTGCAATCAGTTTCACAGCCCCAAATTCAGGGGTCCACAGAACTGTGCTCCCTCCAGAGGCTCTAGGGAAGAATCGTTCCTTGCCTCTCCCTGCTGCTGGTGGTGCTGGCTCTCCGTGGTTTATGGGCGCATCGCTCCCACCTCTGCTTGTGTGGTTATTGCTGTCTCCTCTTCTCCATGCGTGTTCTCCTTCTGCCTCTGTCTTATAAAGATGGTTAGGATTGGATTTAAGACCCATACAGGTAATCTAGGAAAATCTCCTCCTCTCAAAATCCTTAACCTTTCCAAAGACCCATTTTGCAAAGAATTTGCATTTACAGGTTCCACGCATTAGGATATGGATACCATTTGGAGAGTTCCTTTTGTAGCCTCCCACAGAGAGGGAGGGTTATCTGATTGGAATGGAAAAGTAAGGTTTGTAAAGCATCCTCTGAATCAACACAATGCTGAGCGTTTTGTCTATTATTTACTCCTGACAATAATCTCAGAAGTTATCATCCACATTTCACAGATGAGGAAACTGTAAAAGAGAGCTTTCCGAGTCCAAGATTGCCACGCTAGCAAGTGGCAGATGCTTCAACAGTCCTGGTTTTGTCAGCAGCCACATTGCATTGTATTTATAATCTCCCCAAGCTGATGTGAACAGGTGAACATGATCTTTCTCCTGGAAGCACTGGACCCATCTGTGTTCATGCTCCTTGTTTTCTGAAGGCACCTTCATTGTAAGCCAGAGCGAAGACATGACTCCAGACAATGTCCTGTATTCCTGCCTATACTGAATTCATTCATGGATGTGGACTTCCTTAAATAAAGAGGCGGGTGGAACCCACCTGGGGCCTTTGACACATCAAATGTCTTCTTACTTAATATCCAAGCTGCTTCAGAGTTAGGTGAGTACTCAGTAGTTTTGTGGACTTCATCAACCACAATGATAAGCTGTTTTATCTTGCTTACAGGAGGCAGAAATATTCCAAATACTCACCTTCACACTCGGGCTTTGCAAGTCTCTGTAAAATATTTTTAGTAGGTGCTGTAATTGCAGCTAAGAGTGGAGTTTACCAGAGCTCTCCAACATGAACCTGTCGAACAGCTTTACTTTGACAGAAGTTTCTCAAGTTCTGTGAAACAAATATTCAGGCAGGAACAGACTTGCCTGGGACGCTTCTTTCAAGGGCTCGGCTTGGGGAAAATCTTAGCCATGACTTCCATGTCTCCTCCTTCAAATCAGCTGGAATTAGAAAGCAAATTACGATGGAATCATTTACCACAATCTAGTAAAATGGGGTTTTCTAATTGTTTGTGTCAGGGGCTGAGCTTTAAAGAGGAAAAGTGGCAAGGAACGAATTCCTTGTAGATAGAAGACTTGTTTATGCTCTTTAAAACTCCTGTCAGGGTCTGGTTTCCGAATCCCAGATATAATGCTGCTCTACGTGGGGGTTGGAAAAGAAGCGACCTAGGCCATCAACTCAGGGGGCTCTCTGTTGATACAAGATGGAGAAACAGACCTCGGGTGCATTTATCTAAGAGAGCATTCAGCATTTTGCTCCAAATATAGAACTTGACCAGCCATATGTTTGTTTTTGCAGAAGTGAGTCTAAGACCTACAAATAAACATATTTTGGCCATCGTGCACATAGGAAAACCAGACTTCATACTTATGGTTCAGAGCTGTTTGCTTTGGAATGCTGCATTTGCCCTTTGCAAGTTGGGCAAAGTGAAGTTGTTGTCTTTCCCGGTCGCCTTCCTCCTACCTCCCAGACTTCAACCCCAGGCAGTTTTCCGTGATATTGAACAGCTGCTCCTTTGCAATTGCTGAAGGTTTATGTCGTAGCTCCATATTTATCTTGGACACTCCACTGGGTTGAGCTTATTATCTTATTGCATTGCCACTGCAGAATTTATTGAAGAGAAGGGGGCTGCTGCTGGCTGTGAGCTGTGTGGTAAGTCCAGAGTTTCACAGTCCTCATGAATTAGGGCACCAGATGCATAAGTAAGATAAACCTGTTACCTCTCTAGCCCTTGGGATGAGATTTCTCTCTTCTGAGCGCACCTTCTGCAGAGTTAACAATTTAGATTAAATTAGTTGAGAACACAAGAAGGCAATTTTCATTTGTAAAGGGATTAGTTTTTTCTTTTTTTTTTCCTAGGCCAGAACAACAATCTAAACACAAAGATAAATTGAAATGGGATTTTCTTTTTAAATGGCTTTCACTAATACAAATAATAATATGAAAGGAAAGCTATTTGGGGGATGCTGAACAGCATCTGACCATGGCATTTTAATAACTGTAGGCAATAAATTTAAGGTTTTAATTTGTGATGCTGGTATTTTAACTGCTTTACGGAAATATATCCATGCGGACTGATGAGGCCTATTAGGACCCTTCCTCCAGGAATACTCCTGGAGGTGTTGCTCTCTCCCATCCTAGGGTGATATCCTAGGGCTGCAGAGAAGTGAACCACAAAGGAAATAGTCTTTGGTTTAGAATGATTTACATTCCTAATACACCTTAATCTGTAAAACATTTGGCTGAATGCTTTATACTGGGGAAACTCCTATTCATGCTATAAAATAGGATCAAATGCATTTCATGGTAATGAACTACTCAGATTTAATGAATTTTTCTTTAAATGTGGAGTTAATGTTCTATTTTAGAATTACTTTTGTCCAGTGAGTATTTAAGTGAGTGATTACTCACTTAAATATGCAATGGAGTCTTTCATAGATGCCGAGAAAACGGAGACAAAATGTCAGTTCCTCATTTCCATTTGCTTAAAAAGTGCAATTATTAAAAATAAGCACTGTGAAGATTTTAACATGTTGAGACGGTGCATAGTTTTCTGTAGCTCGGGTGCCTTCGGAAGGCAATCACGCGGTGTTGGGTTGCCACCTGCTTCTCTGGTCACAGATTAATAACATCTGACCAAGCATGAAGGCGTGCTGAGGCCATCTGCTGTTACACAGAGCAGGATGTGTCTCAGCTTCCCCAAATGGAGCTCTGAGTAACAACGTGGCTCCACTCTCAGTCATCCCATCGAACTACATGACCCAGTTCTTTTGATAACCAGGATTCCGTCCTCTTCTCAAACCAGAACTACCGAACCTGCTTGGTAGTGGTTGAGGTGTTAGGCCGCCTGTATACTTGTAATGGTAACTATGAGCTCTCTTCTCTCTTTGTGTTGTAAAAGGATGTCCTGTAAGACCTTTGCATTCGTCCCTGTGCTTCAATGTGGTAGCCAAAGCTGAGGAAAATGGATACCAAGTACATCTACATTTTGAAATAAATTGGATTCTCTTTCCTCCACAGGTCCTACCATCTTTACCTTCATGATCCTCTTAACTGTGAGGATCATTGTAACTGTGACCACTGCTATCTTCACTGAGGTTTCTTTATGCTCCAGCCTTTTGGTTCCAAGAAGCCAAGAGTTGACTCTGTAGACAATAGAAAAACAGGGAATTATAGAGAAGGATGAGAGAGAAGAATGCCCCATTTGCCTGGTATCCATACTGTAGAGGTTCTAAAGCATCAGTGAGACCCAACCTTTCCTAACTTGTCCCCTTTAGGATATGGAGAGGTCCTCAACGACGTCATTACTAGCATTCCAAAGGAAGCCCATGTAACAGCCAGAGAGTGGTGGGTGCAAGAGAGATGACATCAGCCCAAGAACTAAAAGGACTTATTCTTGTCCTGGATATAACATCTGGGCCACCTAGGGCAAGCCCTTTGATATCATAGTATTTTAGGTTTTTTTTTTTTTTTTTCACTGAAAAATGAGGGGACTAGAATCGATGGTTTTAAAATTGTGTCATAAAATTTCAGAATGGTGTCTCTTGGACTGCCGGCCAGACCTCGCACCTTCCTTTCCTCTTCATCTCACCTGGAACGAGAATCATTACCTGGCAGGAAAGCTGCTACTTTCTGATCATGAGGATGAAGGCCTGTACACTAAGATTTGTGGACCTGGGCCCCTAATGAGATCACATAGGTGCCATCTTGCCTTTTCTCATTTTCTTATTGTGTAAAACTGCATTTTTTTTTTTCTTTCCAGCACCCTCATCCTCAAACAAAACACTCTTATATAGCAAAGCCACCCTTAGTTTTTTGTTGCAAAGAGCTGAATGCATTTCTAATGATTGCAGCATTAAACTTAGTGCTGCTCATCGGTAGTCAGATCAATAACCATAGTTAGCATTCATCAAATATTTTGTAATCATCTTCAATATAAACCTTGTTTTCATTAGATACATGAAGTCTTTTAAAAATGTCTTTTAATGGGGGTGTTTGTAGCACCCCTGCAGATGATATTGCTTTCGTGTTCTTTTATAAATGTCTTGCTTTTAGATGACAAATCTGAGCACAGTATTTATAATCCATCCCTTCCTACTCTACCAAAAACACAGAGAGGGTTATTCCATGAATCAAAATGTGAAATATTAAACCAGAGAAACTACTCCATGATTGGCAACTAGTCTAGTTAACTATGATGATTTTTTTAGACTGAGAGAAGGGATTGTTCTCCTCTGTCCTAAATTAACTAACCTCTTGTTAAGTTTTAAATAAGCAGACATTTCCTTTTCTTTGCTTTTAATAAAGCAAATACAATTATTTCTTGCAAAACTGAATGGCGATTTTAACTTTCAAATAAGACTTGGATCTGAATTGCATTTCAGCACTGCAATTGAGTTAAGTAAATATGTATCTTTAAGGAATTGAATTGAAATATCCTAGTTCCTATATATTCACATCTTGATGAATATTAGTAGATTGCTAAAATAATTTGAAATGCAACTCGGGTCCTCAAATACACACAAAAATCCTTTGGAGAAAGAATCTGGCTTGAAATTTGAAAATGTTGAAGACATATTTGGTTGAAAGATGTAGTGGAAACATGTTACCTAGGTTACATGAATTTATGATAGAAAATATAAAATGGATCTTTGAAAAACGTGTAATCCATCCTTCTCCAATTTAAATATATCTGAAGTCTATTGCCAATTTGATGACTCTTGCTTTATACCATCACTTATATTTTTGATATCAAAGGGAAAACAAATTTCAAGAGGGTTATATCCTATTCCATAAAGGTACAATGGTTTATTTATAACATGCCATTTTTATCATAGGTCACTAGAGAGAGTAATCAGGCTTTCTTTGAAAGAGTTCAGCATGGTAAAACAAAAACAAAACCTTAGTCTGGATTTTTTACCAATATATTAAATTTCTGTAAAATAATTTACATTTATATAACAACATAGAGTATAGTGAAAGGGATGAAACCTTTGAAGATTTTATTTATTTATTCATCAGAGACACAGAGAGGGAGGCAGAGACATAGGCAGAGCGAGAAGCAGGCTCCCTTTAGGGAGCCCCGATGTGGGACTCGATCCCAGGACTCTGGGATCATGACCTGAGCAGAAGGCAGATGCTTAACCACTGAGCCACCCAGGCGTCCCGAGATGAGACCTTTGAAATCAAACAGGATTGTACTGGAATCTGGTTCAGTACCAGATTGGTTCAGCCCTTCCAAACTCATTCCCAGACTTCTCCACTTCCCCGAATGTTCCACAGAAAGGCTGAGAGGTAAGACTCTATCTTCCCCAGCCTGCCTTCCAACTAGGCTGTGTGGTCCACTTATGCCCGTTCAGCTCTAAGGGGAAGGTCCTAGGGCATTTCTAGAAAATATTTTCCTAAAACAAGAGAGAACTACATGAGAAGAAAGTCCTTTTCTGTTTGTCACCACCCCTGCTTCTTTGTGAACTGGATCTGTAAGTGGATAAAATGGTCGTAGCTATCTTCTGACCAAGAAGGGGGAACTAGAAGATGCCTATGACCCTGATCTGGTGCCCCTACCTGGTTAAATTCATTGACCCAACCCTGAGGTTATTAGTTTCTAATTCCTTGTAAGATGGTTAGAAAAAAATACTTTCATTACTTGTAGCATTCCTTACTGGTGTACAACATTTATTTTGATGGGCAAATATCTTAACTTCTCTGAGCTTCAATTTCCTGTTGTATAAAATGGGAATAATAGCACCAGCTCACATTTGTGGTTGTTTTGGAAGAATTCATTGAAATATGTATTCGAACAGAGCAACACATAGTAGATGCTCTTTATTATGTTATTGGAGCTGTGTTGCCTTAGCCAACTTGAAGCAGATAGAATTATATAAGGCTCTACTAGTTTGCAGTACTATACAACATGTTTTGACTTATAATTTCTTAATTATAAGAATTTCTTAATTCTTCCAACAAATCTACAGGGAGGATATGATTTTTTCACTTACAGATGAGGAAACTGAAGCTTAGAAATAGAGAATTCCGAGGGCACACAATTTGAATGTGTTAGAGCCGGTGTGCGTGCTTTAAAGTTCACCCCACATGTATTGGGGGATGGGAGAAGCCTGAGCTGGGACCACGAGAAGGCACCAACCCAGAGAAATAGCAGGTCTCAAACTCAGACAGGCTCACCAGGAGTGCCAGAAAGAGATGCTGAGAATTCTGGAATGTGTACTTGCGTCTGTAAGCATGCCAGTTGGTGGCAGAAGGGAGGACTTGGGCAGAAGCTGAGTTAGAGTGCAATAGCTAAGGCCCAGAAACAGGAACAAAGGACCAAAGGTCCAGAAAATGCATGAGGCTGGTGCTGACTCACATGCCTTCATGAGCCAAGCTGGTGACATGAATGTGTGGGTCTGGTAACATGAATGTGTGGGTCTGGTAGAAACAAGACAAAAATGGATGGAGGGGACTAGATGCTGGAAAAAGGGCACATGGTCCACCTAAAGGCATTTGAAAAAAATTTAAACACGGTACTGATAAAATAAGACACGGCCTTGGAGAGTATAGGATTGCTGGCTCCTGGTTTGCAACCTGGAAAATAACGTAGCAGGAAATAGAAGTCCAGGTTGTAAATGACTTCAAAGCCCAGGATATTTCCTTTCCTCTCATTTGCCATTCATTTACTCCATTCATTCATTGGTTTTACCAATTAACAGCCTCATTTGGTTTCTTTGGTCCTAGTGTACAATGCTAGGTTCTGGCGTTATTGAGACTCCAAGTGGAACAAAACACAGTCCCTGTCCTCAGTAGAAAGAACATCATAGTGATTGATGCAAGAAGTTCACAAGAGGCTCAGAAGAGACCTTTTTAGAGTACCTCAGAGCACAAAGGATGGAGCAGCTGAATCTTCCGGGAGTGATCACGGGAGGCTGCCCAGAGGAAGTGAGACTTGACTTATACAAATAAATAGAATTTTGTTTTTGCTGCAGGGTGTACATGAGATGACAGCAGCGGTTAGAATAGGGAACACTAAGGAGAGGAAATTCTGCTTTAGGGAATAGATGTGCACAACTTTATAAATTAAAGTTTCTGGCTTAGCTATTTCATTCCAGGCAGAGGGAACAGCATATGCCAAGGCAAGAAACATTAAAAAGGGTGAAGGAGCGTTGCTTTTCAAGGCATAAAGCCTTCAAGGGGGGCCAGATTAAAAAGGGCTTTTTTTTTTTTAATTTACTTATGATAGTCACAGAGAGAGAGAGAGAGAGGCAGAGACACAGGCAGAGGGAGAAGCAGGCTCCATGCACCGGGAGCCCGACGTGGGATTCGATCCCGGGTCTCCAGGATCGCGCCCTGGGCCAAAGACAGGCACCAAACCGCTGCGCCACCCAGGGATCCCTAAAAAGGGCTTTTTTTTGACAAGGTAAGGCATTTGGATTTTATCCTGTAGGTGTCAGAAGGATTTTAGTTAGGAAGATTCACGGGCAAATTTAGCATTTAGGAAGATGACTCTGGAGTCTCTGTGGAGGGTGGATACAGAAGGCGCAAGGTCAAAGTCAGGGAGACCACCTAGAGGCGTCTTCCATAGCATGGATGACATATGATAAGGGATTAGACTGGGATAGGAAAAGAGGACACTGATAGAAATAGTAAGGGGCATACAGTGATGATGTGCACTTACTATTTAGAAAACACAGGAGAGAGAAGTGTAGGGTGATGGTTCTCAAACTCCAGTAAGCAATGGAAGTACCTAAAAGCACCCTTTCCCCCCAGTTCTCCGTAGTTCTGGCCTGGGGCTTAGTAGCATTTCTTTTTTTTTTCTTTTTTTTTTTTAATTTTATTTTTTTTATTTATTATTTATTATTTATTTTTATTTATTTATGATAGGCACACAGTGAGAGACAGAGAGAGAGGCAGAGACAGAGGCAGAGGGAGAAGCAGGCTCCATGCACCGGCAGCCCGACGTGGGATTCGATCCCGGGTCTCCAGGATCGCGCCCTGGGCCAAAGGCAGGCTCTAAACCGCTGCGCCACCCAGGGATCCCCCTTAGTAGCATTTCTAACACATTCCAGGGTGATGCTGCAGCTGCTGCTGCTGGTCTGGGTTCCACACTTCAAGGACCTCCAGTCTAGGTGACATGCACCACTCTGCCTCCGGTGGGCCATGGCTTAAATCTACTCCTTCGGAAGGCGAGGCAAGTTGCTGAATTGGCAGCCATCGGATTAACAAGTTAGAAACAGCTCGTATCAAAATGAGAGATCAGGTAGGAAATTCATGATTTGTCAAGTCTTTGATTCTTTTTTTTAAATTTAATTTGATTTATTTTTATTAAGACTTATTTATTTATTCATGAGAAATGCAATTGAGAGAGGCAGAGACACAGGCAGAGGGAG